GAATGTGATAACCCTTCTCCTTCTAACGCCTCTTATCGGATCTTATCAACTGATATCACTTCCTGTCACCCACCAATAGTGTTCCCGTCACACCCCCTACATCACTTCTTGAAATCAATGTCTCACTGCTACTGGGACCGGCGCTATGAATTTCGTGACACACAGACAGACGCACACACAAACACACACGGACAGACATACTTAGCGATTTATATAGAGTAGGATAATCGACACTTCAGTTTAAGAGCAGCCGCTCTCAAACTGCCACACTACAGTACTTTCTTATTACCCTCCTAGATATCCGTGTGAGAAAAGTAGATGGTTCATCTGTTTGCCGGTCAGCTTACTTGCAAAGCCATACTATTTGGCTATCATATTCATCCTTCGTAAGAGGCGAAAATGCAGTTTTCGTAGACTGGCCAGAATGTCCAATGTGGATCAGCTGGCATTCAGCACACCATCTATTTCCACGGGAAATACCTGGGTCCAGGTGTACCACCATTCGAATTCATGGCCGGCGCCATCTTGTGTATACGCGTAGTTAGCGAAAGGCATCTCTTCTCTCCGGCCCTGTTCCCGTTTACTTACCAGCCTAGAAAACGGCAAGCTTTTGCCTCCCACAAGACAGCCCCTAAAAGTCGGGCAATCGGCAATTTTTCGCGGCTCTGTATATAAACGAAAATTGTTTTCCTCACCGATTTGAAAGCATTATTTGAACGGGTATATCAGTGCGCACGTGCGAGTGGACAAATACCTAAAACCAACAGTTTTCGAAGTGGAAGGCAGGCGCCTGACAGATTGGGGTGCAGCGTGAAAAAAGATAGACAGTTTCTTCCTGCAATGTTCATCCAAACAGTCGTACAGAATTTTGGTTGTAGAGCAGAACACGAGATATAAGCCCCATTTCCTCGGCCATTTGAGAGTGATTGCTCACCTCCCCCGTGGATGAGGTAGACCTCCGGTAGTTTGTTTGTGATTTCTCGTTTGCATTGCTGGAGTAGTTTAGCATAAGCGCGCTGCTCTGTCTTTCGCATAACAGACTTCTGAACATTGTAAAAGACTTCAATATTATTAGCTTCTGACGGTGTTTTCAGATTGCTGAAGCCGTTAATTCCCCCCCCCCCCACAAATTTTCGAAGGACTGATTGCGAAGATTTATTCCGTAATCACGGAGACGACAAATGATCACAGGAATCCTTTCTGAACCTTGTAAGGCAACTTGCAGAGAAGATTATCACATTCGACTGGTTCCGGTCTAGGTGTGCGAAGATGTTGGCACACTCGATCATCTCTGGCACAGCCCGCGTTAGTGTGGTTCGCACTGTTGTCTCTAACTCCTATTTCGTACAGCTTTGCGCGCATTGGAACTCTGGAACGGGATATGTGACTGACTGATATCCCTCAGAAGGTTGCATGTGTTCCTCACTTGGTGTTGTAGATGCAAAGAAGGGTAGCGTTGGCTCTGCTACCACTTCCACACTGTTCATAATGGCAGCCGACTTCGTAAATCTTTTGATAGACCATCTGGAAAGTCTCTTCATGACATGAATCACCATGAATAGTAGGAGCTGGGACAAATGTATGACTCACGTTGGCGAAACTGTACAACTGTGGGTCAATGAAGGTTGCATTGCCTCCCATGGGACGTTTATCCGATAGCTTGAGCCACTCGTCCACTGCATCGCTCAAGAAGTTGTACTTTCCTATTTTAGAATCTTCTGTTAAACGGCCGCTGAAAACAACTTGGAACATGAGGAGGTCTTCGTGTCGCGTAGAGTGAAATTCAGACTCTTCCACTTACTGGTAGATATTCTTTCCATTTTTCGGCGCTCCCTGTACGGTTTTAGGACAACCTACAGCTTGTTGCCTTGCCCTTCTCTCCAGGGTACAATTCCACCTCTGAAACTCGGAAGGATAACCAAGGTACCTAAACCTGCGTCGCAAGTGGCTGATTTTCAGGGAACTATGCTGGAATCGGGGCTCCCAACTTGTAAGTGGGGTCCCACGAAAAGTTTATAAGGGCATATACCTGCCTGATATGAGCTCATAGTTTCCGTTGAACCTTGGTAACCTTGAAGGGATTCGCTGGGAGTCGACTTAGAAAGCATAGGCTCTAAGAATCCTTTTTTCATTTCCAGCTTTAGCGCAAGTGGGAGGCTTTGGGAACAGGGTACAGCATTGTTGTGCGAAACTTATAGGGAGGTCGTACTTGGCCGCTGGGGAGGGAAGGGGTCGTAACTGGACCCTCTTCGAAGGGGGGGGGGAGGGTCGTACTCACACCGCCATTTCGCACATCCCCATGCTGTACCCTGTTTGGGAGCCTTTCCCCAAATGGGCCATTCGGTGTACTGAACTGTGTGACCTTCACACAGTGGTCGTAGTCTTGCCTCCACTAACTTACTTGCAGGGCTTCGTCTACTCCTCACACTTCTTCCGGATGCTTTCGAAACTCACTGTTTAATCGGCTTCTTTGCATTGAACGATAACTTTCGAACTGACCATTTTGAATAAGTTTTTGGCGGGTGGGTGGAAGCCGTCCTTGGATGGCGACTCGCCCAGAGCAAGTGTGAATCGAGTTCCGTCATGATACTGTAGAATCTTGTAGCGAGTCGTGTCGTCCATGTGTGTCCCATTCATTGTGCCGCAAGACCCTGTAAGAACCATAACTTGCATTTTCGTTTTTGCGGCAAAACTAAGCTAGGAGCGGCGTATATTGGAGATCTGAATCCACAAAAATTCGTGCTATAGAGAAGTCCTAATACGTACATGTCTCTGCAGTAGGACGGGACCCAAGGGATAAACCGCAGAGGGCCAGCAGAAGGATGCCGAGCTGAAAAGTTGTCAGGTAAAACGGAACAAGTGCTGCTTACATACAATAAGATTTCACAACAATACCGTGCAGACATTATCCAGCGACGTCGCAGTGTGGTGTCGTAATAGACAGAGACTAGAAATGCCCCAAATCCACATTTAGGGCTAGCCTTTATACGTAATAGCGATCTGTAGACGAATAGATCTGTTTGAAAACAGATCGGATTAGAAAGAGAATTAGCGCGAATACTCCATCATATCTTGCCCCCCCCTGCCCTAGTCCTCCCACCGAGATGAGAGAGAAAGCACTTAAGTACATGTAGCATAGTATATCGATGTGTTTCAATATTAAGTTGCACTACAGGTAGCACATAAAAGTTCTTATAAGAGCGACGTGGACACCCACACGGCTTTGTGAGTCCCTCTTCACAGAAGGCACCTTATTGAGTTAACAGCACCCGAATTTTCCGATTACCGAACGTGGCGAATTGAACGAAGATTGCTTTTCGCGGCGGGAAGGGTTTGTGAAGAAATTGTTGTCAAGTGGGAGAACAGCTACAGGAAGATAACTTTCTAAAAAAAGTTTTGAAGGGCGCACTAATGTAAGATCCTTTTGAGGCACTATATAGCTGAAAGAATCTGGAGATTCTCCTTGCCTGCGGGGATGCCATCAAGCGCTGACTATGGCAGTAGCCAAAAAACTTAGCGCATTGACTGGCTCCTTTTCATTTTCTTCTCAGTATGAGACGAAAATCGCGTAGTCCACGCGCACGCTTGTGGTTCTTGACCACAGCTTTACTGGAGTTATGTGGCCCGTGCTGCCCAGCTTATCCTCAAATTTTGTGCTACTTCTGAACAAAGCATACTTCCACCGCCCCTTGTCTCGCGACTGCTTCTCTCTGCCTTGAATGTGGCGTGAACTCCTCAATGCATGACGACCTCAGCGGCATTCGTATGGTTGAAAAACGATGGTTTATTGTCCCCAATGACTGTTTTATTTGCGAAGCCCTCAGTTATAAGCAAAAAATGCAGTATTTCCGGATAGGCTAAAAAGTCTATTGTGGATCAGCTAGGGGCTACTACGCTATTCTTTCCAACAATAGAGGCCCGAAAAACTATGAACGGGCCCATGGTGGTCCATACCGTGCCCCAAGGTGCTTTGTTCAATTTTTGTGCGGAAGGGTTCATTGTTCATTTTTTTGGTTATATGTGTGCCAATTTCGCAAGCACACGCTTTTGCGCGCACTTTCACTGTAGCTTTCTGATTTGGTGTTCGGAACTGCGGTGACTTGAAGAACGACGAAGGCTGCAACGTTCCTCATCAGCCATATCTTGTCTTTCTTTCGGCCACTGTCGATGTGGTCTACTATCCCCCTATCCTACGCGCTTCGTCTTAGCAGGGACCAATTTCCCACTGGTTTAGGACGAGTGCTGTGACTTTTAGATCCTATGTTTCTCTCTCAAATCAAATAAAGTCAGCTGTGACATTTCCTGTCATTTGCCACTTGTGATTCGTCTTGCCCCAATTTCAATTTTTAGGACCGAAAGGACTTTTGCTGCAACCGTAGCCACACATTTAGCAACAATTACACACGAGACAAACTTAGTGAACTATATATGGCGGGGTAAGCGTCCCATAAGGAGGGCCTTGGAATGGAAAATAAGAACAAAAAATAAGAATAGCAGGCAGGCTGAGTAGGAATATCTGGGAACACTAATTTCTGTGCTTCGCGTCTGTTCGCTCTGGTCAGGGTGGCTTCTTTAACACGATGACGACAACCGATCTGGCGGAAAAGCTCGCGTGGGAAAACGGCGTCTCTGCGCCGTTTCAGTTCAAGATGTCACGTACTTTTGTGCATGGTCCTGTTACGAAACCCTGTGACGCAGACGGATAGAGGGCAGCGGCTGCCAAAGCATCGAAACGTGCAAAAAACGTATGGCGAGCCAGGAAACGGGATTTTTCAAGGGGAGGGGACTCCGGGGTGGGTGAGCTACTTACAGTCGGTGAAAAGCTGGAGTGAGCGAAGTCACAACGGCCATAGAGTGCCATGCGGACGAGAGAGTGCAGAGAAAAAGAGAAGATCGACGCGTTCAAGGGACTAAGTTCAAGTTGTCCGTAGACCGCTCTGCGTCGCTCATGAGTCGCCGGCGAATCACATTGTACTCCTTCAACCCCTTTTTCCGCTCTGTCGAACATCGCAAAATGATTACGCAATTATCGTTGAGTTGAAAAAGAAGCTGTCTCCATGAACCTTGGCATTGTGCTGCGTCTCGAAGTTCTTCCGTGCTAGGTGGGAGGTTCCTAGGTGAACATTTTTTTTGTTGTCTCGACACTTCGTCTAGGTCGTCTTCATCAGAGGCCTGGACGTGGCTCATGGTTCACAAGTTGTGCCCTAAACCGCCAAACGCCTTTCCTCACTCTAGTGTTTCTGACCGATTATCAGCAGTGCATCGAAAGATCGAGAGAGAGAGAGAGAGAGAGAGAGAGAGAGAGAGAGAGAGGACCCAGAAAATCCACCTCTGTGGGTGCGGAAGTCCGTTACATTAGTTGTTAGTAAACCAAAAAAAATGAACAATGAACCCTTCCGCACAAAAATTGAACAAAGCACCTTGGGGCACGGTATGGACCACCATGGGCCCGTTCATAGTTTTTCGGGCCTCTATTGTTGGAAAGAATAGCGTAGTAGCCCCTAGCTGATCCACAATAGACTTTTTAGCCTATCCGGAAATACTGCATTTTTTGCTTATAACTGAGGGCTTCGCAAATAAAACAGTCATTGGGGACAATAAACCATCGTTTTTCAACCATACGAATGCCGCTGAGGTCGTCATGCATTGAGGAGTTCACGCCACATTCAAGGCAGAGAGAAGCAGTCGCGAGACAAGGGGCGGTGGAAGTATGCTTTGTTCAGAAGTAGCACAAAATTTGAGGATAAGCTGGGCAGCACGG